ATAAATGTTTGGTATCGGCCCTGATTTTTCATAGAAGTTGGGAGAAAACATAAAACTATTGCACAGTGATGTTCACCAGGATTATCACTGAGACACAGAAGCTCCTGACATTCAGATAGTAAAAGAACAGCTTCAATCTTGTACCAACCATCCCAACTATATCTGTTTATCAACCATATCTGTTTATCATGAGAGGATGAACGACTCTTTGAAGGCCATGGAGAGGTCAGTTTTAAACTATTACATCTCCCTCAGTCGGCAACGGTCAGCGTATCACCAGACACTTTGGTTCTGATCTTCAAAGATTCAATGAAGAAGAGCTAAATAGTGTTGGCCAAACACAAGCATGATTTGTGGGTGTGTTGGTGGTGAGCTACAAAGATTGCACGTGCAACTGATAAGAGCAGCAAAGCGTAGGATTAAAATGAACGTGAGCTACTGGTCATAAAAGAAAGATGAGGTTCTAAACCTTGGATATGGAGGTAATTATCATGATAATGAGTATTATTTATAGTGCACTTTTGAGGTATCTCAAAGTGCTACAAAACATAAACAAATACATAAATCAATGAAAATAGTAAAAGCTAAGTGTTAAAGATTAAATCTCATAAAACCTGGTAAAGTTGACTTTGACCCACCCTGAACCCCACCCTAATAGAAAAGGAGATACAGTCAGATTTACAGTGAGATTACTCTCTAAGCATGGACTCTTAAAAACACACACAAAATGATTTTACCACAAATCCTTCAAATTGGAAACTAAAATGTTATTTCAATTATTTTTTTCTTCACTAAAAAACTTTGATAAGAAGTAATCACTTTTGATAATTATATACTGTCCTGAGATTTATAATATATTGTCCTGAGGGAGTGGTGCACTGCAAAAAATTGAAATCTAAATAAGTAATTTTTTCTTGCAATAAGTGCATTTTTTCTTGAATTGAGGAGGTAATTGAGACACTTTGCTTTGCCAATGGAAGACAATTTACTTTAAAAATAAGAAAACACAATTGCATTGTCTTATTTAAAGTGAATATTATCTAATTATCTTATTATCTTATTTTAAGACTAAAAATACTCATTCCATTGGCAAATTATCTTATTTACCTACTCAAATTAATGGTAAATACACTTAATTTAATTCATTTTTTTCTCCTTTTTAGATGGTTTTTGCAGTGTGGCATAGTGGTAAGGGCATAAAGATTGGAAGCCTGAGGTTGTGAGTGCCGCAAATGCCAGCCCAACGCTCCCCAAGTGGATGGGTTAAATGCAGAGAGTGAATTTTGTTGCGTGGTACAGTGACGGTGTAATGACAAAAACAAACTGTGGAGGTTTGGCCCAGAGATGTTGACTTTAAAGTTGAATTAAACCTCCAAAGAGGTTTAGAAAGCCGTTTGTTCACAAATCCAAAACTGCATATAATCCATTTGATTTATTTCTCACAGAGGGGGTAGTAACTAATTACCTTTACTTGAGTACATTTACAAAAATAATAATAATAAGGTTTTGGGAGTAGTTTTGCAGCATTGTACTTTTTACTTTCTCTTGAGTAAAATATGATCAAGTTAAATTTTGGCTATCAATTAAAACAAGCTTGTTTGCACCATTGTGAGACACTTTCTTCTTTTTTGTTCTCAATTATGGGTTAAATGTTATTTTTCTTTCTGCTGAGTTTGCCGTGTCATTCAGAGGTTGGGTAAAGATACAGTAATCATTATACTGTAATTTTGCATATTTTACATACTGTAAACTGATTTTCTAAGTTTTATTTAAAAAAAAAAAACTTATTTTAAATAGTGTTCATTCTGCCTAAAAAGTTTTTATTATTTAATTACTGTAAGTCATATATTTATTCTTATTCTTTGTAATCCCAGAATTTGAATATCATATAATATTTTGTTACATTTTACATAATTGTGGATCAGTTTTTATAATTCTGGGTATATATTTTTAATTTTATTGGAATTTTTCTTTAAAGGCTATTTTTTTTACTTTTAGTTGCGTGAAATTATGATCAAGTAGTGCTACTGTTACTTAATTACAATTTTGGGGTACTCTACCCAGGTCTGGTTACTCACAGAAAGCCTTACATGCTGACTTTGTTTTGCATCTGCACCAAAAACACACATACATACCATTAAAGTTGATAGCTTAAATGCAACCTTTAATGCTATCTTAGACTCTGTTGGCTTAGTTTAAAATGTACTTAGAACCACACATTCTCATCTTCATACTTTGGTGCTTGTGCTGACATATAGCATTGAATGTGAAAAAAATCACAGTAGTTCCTTACAACCTCTTAGAACGACCACTTTTCAGGTAGTTCTTCTCCCCCAAAACAAGTTTTCACTTTAGCAGATCATTACTGGGTAATGTGGTTATCAATTTTCCAGAATCTGTTCCCCTTTCTATCCCAAACTGTTTCACTGAACAACACAACAGAGGGTAACCAATTCATTTATTCCCCCTCACAAATTGATGATTTTGTTGATAGGGTCACTAGTTTTCTGCGTAATGCCTTAGACAATGCAGCACCATCTAACAATAGGAGTCTGGCTCCTTGGTGTGATACAGAGCTGCACACTTTGAAGCACAATGCAAGGAAACTAAATAGAAAAGGGGCAATCTGCATGCCTACAGGAATCCTAAAAAACCTGGAAGTACAGTCTACTGCTGTATGAAATAACCCTTCTTAAACTAGAGCAGCATATTTCGTTTGCCAAAATCACAATCATTACAGTTGCTAAAATCACACAGAGCCATAGCTCGGTTGAACTGTCCATTCCCCCTGCTCTAACCAATGAAGATTTTATGGGATTCTTGATAAATAAGAATAATAATATTAGAAATAAGATCATTGATACCCTTCTAAATGGGATTTATCTCTGAAAGGTGAGGCAGCATCTGAAGTAGCCATAGAATCTGAATCATGTTAAGACTACTTTGATCCATTTGGATTTTAAGAGTTAGCAACATATTATCTTCATCTAAGCCTTCAACTTGTATTTTAGATCCAGTTACAACTAGGTTATTTAAGGAATTATATTCCCTCTGATTTGATTAATCTATCCCTGTTACAAGGATATATTCTAAAGGCTTTTAAGGTAGCTGTAACTAAATCTTTACTTAAATTATAGACCTATATCTAATCTTCTGGTCTTATCT